GTCTGGCCTTACATTTAGGTCTTTAATCCATTTTGAGTTTATTTTTGTGTATGGTGTTAGGGAGTGTTCTAATTTCACTCTTTTACATGTAGCTGTCCAGTTTTCCCAGCACCACTTATTGAAGAGGCTGTCTTTTCTCCATTGTATATTCTTGCCTCCTTTATCATATTTTGATCATTCTTTATATATTTATGTTAATTGGAATTCTACTGTAAGGAAGATCTTTCCCTTCTCCCCTTCTCTCAAGGATTCTTGTTTTATTCTTAGATTGTAGTCAGTTATAGTCTTTATTTTGATCCTCAAATTAGGAGCTCTTCAAGTTGGCTCTTTTGTTTTTTGACTTGTCCCCATCATTTTCTGAGCACTTTACTTTCTGGAAGCACAGTATAAAATGTTCCAAACGCATCTTGTATTTTCTTAGCCCCAGCCATGAAACCAGCCATTTCTCCAAAGAGCTCTGGACTTCTTATTGGTTAATCGTATTTGGAAAGTAATATCTGGATGCTAGGTATGCTTACTGCTACTAGGGTGTCATTGCCACTAGACCCTCTCAGCAGAATATTTGTATGAACACATACACATCTATATCTGTCTGCATATATACAAAAACCATCCATTTATACTCATACTTTCAATTCTAATCCAATACCACAAGGTTCATTCTAGTGCTTCTGCTTTCCTTATTTGTAACTTCTTTATACAACAGTGAGAAATCATTCAGTATAGTTTTTGTTTTGTTTTGTTTTGTTTTTTGCGGTACATGGGCCTCTCACTGTTGTGGCCTCTCCCGTTGCGGAGCACAGGCTCCGGACGCGCAGGCTCAGTGGCCATGGCTCACGGTCCCAGCCACTCTGCGGCATGTGGGATCTTCCCGGACCGGGGCACGAACCCGTGTCCCCTGCATCGGCAGGCGGACTCTCAACCACTGCACCACCAGGGAAGCCCCATTCAGTATAGTTTTAATTTGCATTTCATGTAAGTGAAATTGAGCTTCTTTCCTATGTTTTAAAGCCATTTGTTTTTCTTTATCTGAGCACTGACTGTACATCTTCTCTCATTTTTCTATGGATTATTGGTCTTGTTCTTTTTTCTAGAACTTCTTTTTATATTAGGGAAATTAGTTCTGCAAATATTTTTTTCTCACTTCATGATTTGTCTTTTTTAAAAAATAAATAAATAAATAAATAAATAAATTTTTGGCTGCATAGGTCTTCGTTGCTGTGCCACCAGGGAAGTCCCATTGTGTTTTTAAATATCAAGGCAGAATGTATACTCAGTCACAGCTTTCATTTCTTCTGTGGCCAACAGTTTTCTAGTTTTCTAGTGTGTATTTTTTGTCTATGGGTAAGATTATCTGCTCTTTTCTACCATTTTAATAGTAATTTTGTATGAAAGATTGCATTAGACTGCATAACAAAATACCACAGACTGGGTGGCTTAAAAAATAAAATTTTTTTCCCTCAAAGCTCTGCAGCCTAGAAGTCCAAGATCAAGGTGTCGGCAGGTTTGGTTTCTTCTGAGGCCACTCTCCTTGGCTTGCAGATGGCTGCCTTCTCACTGTGGCCTCACATAGTTTTTGTTCTGTGCACACTTGCATTTCTGGCATCCAAATTTTCTCTTTTTATTAGGACCCCAGTCAAATTAGTTTAGGGCTCAATCTAAAGAACTCATTTTAAATTAATCATTTCTTTAAAGACCTTATCTCCAAATAGAGTCACATTCTGAGGTACTAGGCGTTAGAACTTCAGCATACAAACTTCTGGGGTACACAGTTCATCTCATAACAAAGGTGTTTGTCACTTTCTTCTTTCTTTTTTTTTTTAACATCTTTGTTGGAGTATAATCGCTTTACAATGGTGTGTTATTTTCTGCTGTATCACAAAGTGAATCAGCTATACGTATACATATATCCCCATATCCCCTCCCTCTTGCGTCTCCCTCCCACTCTCCCTATCCCACCCCTCTAGGTGGTCACAAAGCACCGAGCTGATCTCCCTGTGCTACGCGGCTGCTTCCCACTAGCTATCTATTTTACATTTGGTAGTGTATATATGTCCATGCCACTCTCTCACTTCGTCCCAGCTTACCTTTCTTCTTTCGTTTTTTAATCCATTATTAAATGAATTGTGTTTTCCAACCATTTTCAAGTGTCTTCTGTGAAGGAAGAGCAAGAGAGACCAAGGTAGTTTTCCAGATTTCACAGTGCAAAGGTTTTCAGGTGCCACGATCAGACTGTCTCATTCTATGTGGCCCTTTTTGTAGTTTTTGTGTAGCCCTGCTTTCTTTGCTTCTCTATTCTAAACAGGGCTTTTGCCCCAGACCTGTGCTCTCTGGCATCATCACTAGTCATTGCACACAGGAAACATAGCCCCTGGATTTTAGGTGAGCTCTTTATCTACTTTCTGAGATTTTCATATCTGAGTTTCCCAGACATTCTTTTGGACATTCTGTACCTCCTCTTTCTACTATGTTCCCTATAGCTTTAACCCAACCTCAGTTCTTTTTATCTCTACTTCTGCTCTGATTGTTTAGAACAACAAACATTTTCACTTTCACATGAACTTCTCATCCTCAGTGAATCTATTTTCTCATCCTCTGGGAGTCTGTTTTTGCTGGTGTTTTCTGGGATCTGCTGCTGGCTGTTTCCCTTAAACACTCCAAGAGTCTCAGTCATATGACATTCAGTCATACATAACTGCAGTACCTATATCATAATCATTTTACTTTGTAATGTAAAATTTCCCCATTTTTCTACATTATAAAGATAGCTGTATATTTTCCCTAATGCCAAAGATAATACATAATGCATAATCATGTAGAAAGTTCAAGTCATACAAAAGAGTACAAGGAAGAATGAAAATCATTGAGAGGCAACTAAACATTTTGGTAAACATTCCAAACATCTCTCAGTTATACACAGATTTATAAGAATAAGCTCATACTATATATGCTGTTTTGTATTCTGCATGTTTATTCAATAATATGTCCCAAAATTCTTCTTTGTCAATAGATATAGATTTACACCATTTTTTAAATGATCAGAATTTATTCTTCCAAGCAACTATTATGACCTAAGAGAAGTTACTTTAAATATATTTAAAAATTTTATTGAAGTATAGTTGATATACAATGTTGTGTTAATTTCTGCTGTACAGCAACACGATTCAGTTATACGTATATATATTCTTTTTCATACTCTTTTCCATTATGATTTATCACAGGATATTGAATATAGTTCTCTGTGCTACACAGTAGAACCTTGTTGTTTATCCATCCTGTATATAATAGTTTGCATCTGCTAATCCCAAACTCCCAATCCTTCCCTCCCCCGCCCCTTGGCAACTACAAGTCTGTTCTCTATATCTGCGAAACCAAATAAAGTAGAAAGGTAAATTCTTCATTCCTTTTACTCCCCAGGATTAACTACTCCCCAGAAGTAACAACTATATGCAGACATAGACATATAATCATATACCGCACATGTTTATACACATACACAGAGTTTTCTTTGTTCAAAAATGGGAATTAAGGGCTTCCCTGGTGGCGCAGTGGTTGAGAGTCCGCCTGCCGTTGCAGGGGATACGGGTTCATGCCCCGGTCCGGGAAGATCCCACATGCCGCAAAGCGGCTGGGCCCATGAGCCATGGCCGCTGAGCCTGCGCGTCCGGAGCCTGTGCTCCGCAACGGGAGAGGCCACAACAGTGAGACGCCCGCATACCGCAACAAAAAAAAAAAAAAAAAAAAAAGGGAATTAAGCTATATATAATGTTCTGCAACCTGCTTTATTTACATGACATATCATGGACATATTTTCAGGGTGTGACATTTTGAATGTCAATGTTTACATTAAATTGTATTTTTTCTTTAAGTATATTCTTTTAAAATGTTTATGATGTTTTAATATATTGGCATTTAATGTACTGATATAAAATATTACATGTATTATAAAATCTTTTATATATACACAGATACAAAAAAAGTCCTGTATATGCACTGCCCTTAAAATAAAGGAACACTGTCAATACCATTAAAGAACTAAGTCTATTTATACTCTCTTTCCAGTTTTATTTCCTTTTCTGTCCCTAGAGGTAAGTACCATTCTGAATTTTATGTTATGAGTTATCATTTACGATATTAAGTGATATTATCTTTTTAAAGTTTCCAGTCAATGACTATTTATATATATACAGTACTGCTGTGAATATTCTCCCATGTGACTCTCAGTACTCATGTATGAGAGTTTCTTCTGAGTGCATTCTTTTTTTTTTTTTTTTTTTTTTTTGCGGTACGCGGGCCTCTTGTGGCCTCTCCCGTTGCGGAGCACAGGCTCCGGACGCGCAGGCTCAGCGGCCATGGCTCACAGGCCCAGCCGCTCCACGGCATGTGGGATCTTCCCAGACCGGGTCACGAGCCTGCGCCCCCTGCATCGGCAGGTGGACTCTCAACCACTGTGCCACCAGGGAAGCCCCCTGAGTGCATTCTTGAGGTGGAATTGCTGGGTCATAGAAAATGTGCAGGTTCAATATTGCTCAATAATACTATATTGTTTTCTAGAGTGACTGTTCCAACATTCTCTATTTTAGAAGGCTATTTTATTAGCACTGAATTACTTTTTTAAAAAAATAGTACTTGATTCTAACATAGTTAATCATTAGAAAATTTGTTAGCTTATAAAAATGTGATCTATAGAAAACCTTTCAGGAACACTAGTATTACTTGTATTACTTTTTAATAGCCAGTTATGATTAAAACTTCGCAAAATAACTTGCTAATGTTTTGATTATGGCTTCATTATACTACATTGTATTTGGTTTAGGTGTGCTATTTAACATATTCCAGAGGAACAACAATAAGCATATTAAAATCTGTTTATATAGTTATGCCTTGTCTGATTGTTACATGTATTACTTCCTGATTGTTATATGTATCTGTGACCACCCATTAGCTTCCTCTGGATAACATTTTTTTTTTTTTTAATGGTATGTGTTCTATCTAAACAGTGCCTACAACACTGCCACCTCACACCCACAAGTGTTAATACAGGTGTAAATGTGAGGTGGGTACAGGGACCGTAAATAGCTGACAGATTTTATTTGGTATATTTTATCTGAAATCTATTTAATATTAAACATCTATGAAATATGAATAATAGCAAAAATGAACTTTTACTGCTTCACATTTATTGTACTTGGGTTTCTTTTCCTCTTGAAATAAATTCTCAGTTACCATTTTATACTTATATACAAGTAAATATTTGGTGTTTAACATCTTGTTTCTTTTATTATACTTATTTTTAAATTACTTATCATAAAATATAAACAAGTTCTTGACTAGACTGTTATTTTAGACCCCTTTATTTTGCCCTTCCCTACTAGTTGTATAATCTTTTACCTCATATTTCAAAACATCAAAATTCCTCCTTTCCATCCTTCATCAAAACCATCTCTGGCAGATCTGGGGAGAAATTAAACCGGGTGTGCCCCAAACCTGCAAACATTTTCTTACTAATGAAATCTGAGAACATTGAACTTCAAAGGCACATGTGACCACGGAGCATCAGGACTTTTGTTTCTGGATAGAATTGTGTTTTTTGAGGGGTCCTGTAGCAAAGGGCAGGGATGCTGTGACCGAGCGAGTCTTGCTCCAGCAATTGCATCCTCTCTGCCTGAATGACCAGTTTTGGAAGGAGCCTGCAGACATGACTGTCAGTATCTGAGGTTTCAGGTTGTGTTTTAGGGTAGGACCTCACTGCCCAGCTCCAGCCAGCTGTACCCAAAAGTAAATGTTTGGGGGCAATCACTTATTTATTGTAGTGAACATAAAAGTAGCTGGGCAGGTGACACCTAGAAGAAAATAAGATGACAAAAAAAAATGTGCAAAGACTCATTTCGTTACTCACGGTTTTTTGCATTTGCGAATGTAAGTAGTTTTTGAAGTTCTCTTGGGACTTACATTCCTACAACAGCATAAAGCCAAACGTGGATTTCAAAAAAGGTCCCTAAGGGGCTTTCGTTAAGTGCAAAATCAGTGCAGAGGTCCCTCGCTCCTCTCACGTACTCTTATCCCGAGTGGTGGTGGCGGTGGGGAGCGCTTGAGTAGCACGCAAGCTCTTTTGTTCCTCCTCCGCAAAGTAGAGGTGGTGTGGCCCGAGGCTTTGCGGGATAGCGTCCCCCGCGGAGTTCAAGTCTAGATCCGCCAGCGCTGAGCCCCCGGAGGGAGGAGGGGGCGGGCTCAGGGAGTCCCTCCTTCGGGGGCGGGGCCAAGGGCTGCCCGGCCCTGCAGAGCGGAGGTCTACGGGCTCCAGTTTAGTAAAGCGCATGCAAACCCGGCCAGAAGCCACCGCACTTATCAGCAGATCTCATGATTGTTTGGTAAAGGCTCTGCGGGTCTACACAGGTCACCTCCCTCGGAACTCCGCGACTCCACGTCGGAGCCAGCCCTCGGCCCCCCGCAGTCGGACGGTTACAGCCGCGGGAGACCTGGAGGCGGTGGCAGCGGCCCAGGAACTAGCAGCAGCGCCCGGGTAAGTCTGGGCATGTGTTTATCTCTCCGTGTGTCCAACTTTCTGATTACCGGTCTGCCTGTCCTACACCCAGGGCCTCTGTGATTCTACATTTATTTTCCTTAATCGGGATAGATAAAATATTTCATGGGATTCCAAGGCTTTTTTTTATCCGTTTACTTTTGAATGGTTTTCACTTGTTTTATCCCAGTGCTGCCTGTTACCAAACAGCATGAATGAATGATGCAATCCTACATAGGGGGAGTCATCAGTACAAGAGTAGGAAAATCTCCAGAATTTAGAGTTGCAGTGTCTGACTTCATCAACTTCTTTACCATTAGAATTAGAATTTTAAATATGTACTTACCAGATACATTGTTGTAAAGGTAGAGCTTCAAGCTGGGAGTTAAATAACTAATTCTTCTATTCATTAAACTTATGTACTATGTTTTCTTTATATGTGACTTGCACGTTGTGTTTACTCTTTAAATATTTGACTGACCGGTATTTGAATGAGGATCAGGGAAGAAAAATTAAATCCAGGATTTCTATATGTTATTACAACTGCCTGGTGTGTTTTCAATATAATGATTATAGTCCTGTCACTTTCATGTTGGGAAACAAAGTAGTCAGGACGTTTTAAGTTTTCAGTTTATTTGATACATGCCTAATAACTTTTTAAGCTAACGTTTTATTGATGTATAATTTAATGCAATAATATGTACCCATTTTAGGTGTACATTTTGATGAATTTTGACAGTGTTGTACACACTTATAATCACCACCACAATAAAACACTTCCATCACCCTTAAGTTTCCTAGGGCCTCTTTGCAGTCAGACACCCCCACTTCTAGCCCTACTGGCCTGATTTTTGTCATAATAGCATTTGTTTGTATTTTCTAGGGTTTCATATAAACAGAATCATATTGTACGTACTCTTTTGTGTCTGGCTTCTTCTGGTCAATATAATGTTTTCTATATTTATTCATGTTACAGCATCATTAGTAATTCGTATCTTTTTATTGCTGAGTAGTGTTCTATTCTAGGGATGTAACACACTGTGTTTATCCATTTATCTGTTGGTGGTCATTCTAGTTTTGGACTATCATGAATAAAGCTGCTTTGAATATGTTTTTTGTTTTTTTACATACATCTATTTATTTATTGGCCACACCACATGGCACATGGTATCTTAGTTCCCCAAACATGGATCACACCCATTCCCCCTGCATTGGAAGTGTGGAATCTTCACCACTGGACCACCAAGGAAGTCCCATCCCTTAGCTGCTGCTTTTTTTTAAATATATATTTTTAATTAATTAATTAATTTTTGCCTATGTTGGGTCTTCCTTGCTGCTCGCGGACTTTCTCTAGTTGCAGCGAGTGGGGGCTACTCTTTGTTGCAGTGTGCAGGCTTCTCATTGAGGTGGCTTCTCTTGTTGAGGAGCACAGGGCTCTAGGCACTCGGGCTTCGGTAGTTGTGGTTCACGGGCTTAGTTGCTCCCCGGCATGTGGGATCTTCCCAGACCAGGGCTCGAATCCATGTCCCCTGCATTGGCAGGCGGATTCTTAACCACTGCGCCACCAGGGAAGTCCCTGAATATGTTTTCATTTCACTTGAATAAATCTCCAGGAGTGGGATTGCTGACTCTTACGGTAGGTAAATGTTTAATTTCGTAAGGAACTGCCAAACTGTTTTCCATAGTGGTTGTACCATTTTACATCCCCACCAGCAACGTATAAGAGTTCCAGTTGTTCCATATCCTCACCAATACATGGTATTGTCAGTCTTTTTTATTTTTGTTATTCTTTTGAGTTTATTTGCACATCTTTTTTGAAATATCTATTGTTTATATTTTAATGGGTTGTTTGTTTTATTGAGTTGTAAGTGTTCTTTATTCTAGATACAACTCCTCTATCAAATATATGTATTGTGAATACTTTCTCCCATTCTGCGACTTGCCTTTTTTTCTCTTTCTTTCTCCCCCCCCCGCCGCCATAATGGTGTCTTTTGAAAAGCAGAAGTTTTAAATTTTGATGAAGGCCAATTTATCACTTTTTTCCTTTTATTATTCATGCTATTTGGGTTTTATTTGAGAAAATTTTGCCTACCTTAAGGTTGTTCTATTAGTATCTATTGCTGCATAATAAATTATCCCAAAACTCAGCAGCTTAAAATGACAAACGTTTATTTTCTCACTTTCTGTGGGTCAGAAATCTGGGAGCAGCTTAGCTGGGTGGTTCTGGTTTAGGGTCTCTTAAGAGGTTGCAGCTGGCCAAGGTCAACTTATCTGAACACTTTATTGGGGGAGGATCTGCTTCCTAGAGCACTCACCTGGTTATTGGCAGGATTCAATTCCCTGAGGGCTGTTAGACTGAGGTCCTTAGTTCCTCACTGGCTGTTTGCTGGACGTCCCCTCAGTTCTGCCACATGGGCCTCTCATTGGGCAGCTACCAACATGGTAGCTGCCTTACCCCAGAGCAAGGAGTGGGGGTGCTGGGGCAAGATGGAAGCCACATTCCTTTTTTTTTCCTTTTTTGAGATTAACTCACTTTTTTATTATTTTATTTTATTTTTTGGCCTCACTGTGTGGCATGTAGGATCTTAGTTCCCCGACCAGGGATTGAACCCAGGCCCCAGCAGTGAAAGTGCCGAGTCCTAACCATTGGACTGCCGGGGAATTCCCTGAGATTAACTCACTATAAAAAAAACCACTTTTATAATATTTTTAAATTAGAAATAATTATGGATTCACAGAAGGCTGCAAAGAAATATACAGGGAAATCTCATGCATTCCTCCTTCCTCCATGTCCATTCCCCCGAAGACAACATCTCAAGGAACTGACATTGGCACAATCCATAGAGCTCGTTCAGACCTCACAGTTATACACACACTCATTTGTGTCAGTCTAATTTTGCAAGTGATATCCTATCACCTCTGCCTCACTCTATTCACTGGAAGAGAGTCACTATACCCAGCTCACTCTCAAGGGTAGGGGGTTACAGATGGGTTGGGATAGCAGGAAGTCGGTTCACTAGGTTTTTTGGAATTTCTGTTTTTTGGCCTCACTGTGTGGCTTGTGGGATCTTAGTTCCCTGACCAGAAATGGAACCCAGGCCCCCCTGCAGTGGAAGCACAGAGTCCTAAACACTGGACCACCAGGGAATTCCCACTAGGGGCCATTTTAGAGGCTGCCTACCACAGGTGTGCAATTTTCCTCCTGTGTTTTAGAAGTCTTATAGTTTTAGCTTTTGTGTTTAGGTCTTGATTCATTTGGAGTTAATTTTTGGCATTGGACTACAAGTTGGGGAAGAATATACATTAGATTTCTATATTTTATTAAAACTACCAGGTAGGATTCCAATATAATAACGATCAGAGTCTTGTCATTTTCATGCTGGTGAAACAAGGGATGTCTTAAATTTTCACATGATCTAATACATGCCCAATTTAAAAAAAAAAAAAAGGCCAGTAACAAAGTATGAATTCTAAATTAGAGAAATAGAGCGGGCCTTTATAATTAAACCAATGGATCAAGAATAAACTCTATTAAAGAAGCAAATTGGAAATATTCCTTTTCTTGTCATGCCATTCCGGGCAGTGGGTTCTCCTTAAGAGAGCAGCTTCTGGGGAGGTTTGCTAGGGTGCAGCTCTCGCTGGCCTGCAGGGGAGTGGGATTCAGAACACCTGCAGAAGCCAGTCGTGCTCAGCAGAGTGGGAAAGAAACGCTAGACTTGCATGCTCAGGTACGAGGCTTTGAGTACACTTTGTAATCTTCCTCCTTCACAGGAGTATTATCCTGTGTGACTCCGCTGAGAGAAGGGTACACCGAACCCTTTCTGAGTTCAGTGAGGACCGTATTCGAACCTTCCAAATGATTTATTTCCATTCTGGCTTCCTTCCTTTGTCAACCTCTACTTTGCTTTTTCTTGCCGCTTGTTCTTAACTATTTCTTTTTATCTCTTTTTTTCTTCTGAGATTTAGCACCTTTATCCACTTTTTTTTTTTTTTTTTGCTGCTTTGGGTTTTCGTTGCTGCGTGCAGGCTTTCTCTAGTTGTGGCAAATGGGGGCTGCTCTTTGTTGCGGTGCTCGGGCTTCTCATTGCAGTGGCTTGTTGTGGAGCATGGGCTCTAGGCATGTATGCTTCAGTAGTTGCGGCACCTGGGCTCTAGAGTGCAGGCTCAGTAGTAGTGGCGCATGGCCTTAGTTGCTCTGCGGCATGTGAGGTCTTCCCGGACCAGGACTCGAACCCATGTCCCCTGCATTGGCAGGTGGATTCTTAACCACTGCGCCACCAGGGAAGTCCCTATCCACTTCTATTTACAGTTTAAATGATGAGGATTATAATTTGAAGTTGTTGGCTTCGTTCCCTCGTTACTGGGCAGCAGGATTCCCCTCTGACTATTCTTGGAATGTTGTTGACTTTCCTCATTTTGAAGACAGCAGGGACCGTTTTGTAGAGCCTGTAATGGACCTGTGTTGGCTTCTCTGTATTTGTATTATGTTTTCCCAGTAGATCCTCTTTCCCTTTCTCTCTCCTTCCCTTGCCTTTGAGCCTTGCTAATCAGGTGTAGGTGATTTCCTATCAGACTCGAAGCTTTTGCAGAATTAAAGCCACAGAAGAGTGTTTCCTCTGCGTGCTTCAAGGAGACAGAAGTGAAGGGCTTCCCAGGGGAAGCAGTCTTAGGAGACTTTGCAGCTGACCCTCCTTTGTACCGGTCCTGCTAGGAGGGACAGTGAAGCTAGACAGTCTCCTCTTTCTTCTCCTGTGTCTGGACCTTGATGTTCATGTCCCCATTTTTTTCTAGGCTCTTGCTCTTGCAGAACTCACAAGATCTCTCTTAAAGAAATTTGTAGTCAGAACTTTATGCTGTGTTTTTATTCAGGAAAGAAGCAGAAAGAGAAGAGTATTGTCTCCTAGGAATCCAGCCCTGGAGAAACGTGAGTCCAATTTATCTTCTGTTTTCATTGTCATTGTTGTATATTTATCAGTTAACAGTTTAATATTCACTGAATAAAAAAAAATTTTCTGCTGTAACCTATGTGGCATGCTTAAAAATCTCAGGTTCCCCGAGGAATAGCTGTTCTTTTTTATCATAAAATATACTATAATGCATTGACCAGAAACCATAGTCCTAGTTACAGGAATGCTCTTTGACTCTCCTCTGATTCAGAAACTCTCAGACTCCATTGGGCATTGTTTCACTGCTTGGAGGGCCCCAAACAGACTCACCCCTAAGACCAAAGCCACCCCAGGTGACGCCCATCTAAGCCCAGGAAGCTTTGCTCTGTCGGCTTCCTCAACCTCTGTACCAGCTTATATTTGTTCTTACACAGGTGAAGGTAAGAGGTCAATCCCAGCAAAAGGGGAAGTTGGTGAAGGTGATCTTAGATGCCTCTTGCAAGATACTTAGATGGAGAAGTTGGAAGAGAGTTTGGATGAGCAAGTTTTTCTCCTTTTATCTAAAACCAGACCTCCTAAGTTTGGCTATGAAGGAAAACTTGTTTTTATACTTTTGGAGCTGGGGGTGAGAAGGGGTTGTCAGCTGTGGCTTCTTTACCAGTTGGCCCTCTGCTTCCCCAAGATGGACCTGCTTGAGGTCGGGTGGGCAGGAGTCCTGTCCTGAGACACAGAAGGCAGTGGTCCAGTGGTCGGGACCAGCCCTGGGAGCTGCCATGTCTAAGCACAGACCTTTCCACCAGGATTTCTTCCACCCCCGTCCTGTCCCCCTTCCTTGCAAGGGCCAGATGTGAGGGATCCAGAGTCCATTCTCCAGCAACGATTTTTCTAATGTACACAATTCACTTTGAAGCAACTGAACTTACTCAGCAGATTTCCCCTCTGTCCCCCGGAGCTATGAGAATTTTGACTTTGTATGAATCATGAGTCACTCCTGGTGGAGACAATGAAAAGAGAGGGAACCAAAAGTGAATAAGGAGGCAGAGCATTTTACAGTGCGGGTTGGGAAGCGCTAAAGGAAGCTGAATTTGTTCTGCAGTCTAAGCAGGGGATTGAAACCCATGTAAGCTGAGGGTTGGAGGGCATATCCTCTGGCACGAGCATTTAGTGGGCAAAGTTAAGGTCATATAATCCAGCTCCATCTGCTAGGGAGGGCATGAAGAAAGAATCAGTCTTCCATGTAATTGCAATGTAATGTTTGTGTATGGCTGTTAGCATAACTGGCACCATCATGGACCCTCACAGTTTCTCCTGTCCTTCCGCTGACCCTACCCAGGACTGTACTGTCCCTTTTGTACTGTCACTTCTCTGTCATCAAGGGCTTTGTAGTTAATAGACATTGTTTAATAATCATTAGGACCAGGTAGCCTCTATGCTCTGTTAGTCCCCAAACAATGATGAAAACCCTCCCCTGCTGTATTCCCGGCACCCACGAGACTACTTACCCATTCATAAATCTTGGCTTGGGAGTGCACGCCCTCTTTCCAAGCACCTACTCCCAAGCACTATAAAATTGTCCCGGGCTTGCCTGGTGGCGCAGTGGTTGAGAGTCCGCCTGCCGATGCAGGGGACACGGGTTCGTGCCCCGGTCCGGCCCGCATACCACAAAAAAAAAAAAAAAAAAAAAATTGTCCCAATGGCCCCTTGGTGGTGGGAAGTGCAGCTGCGAATGCTTCTGGATTGTTATCCACCCAATCCAGATCCCACCCTCTGAGTAAGTTACCTATGATAAACTGATCCATTGATTATACAGAGCTGCCTGCCTCATTTTTCGGTCTCAAGATGCCTTCTCAGTTTGGTGGGCACTTTTCATTCCCTCTGTCCTCCAATAGTTTGTCTCAAAAATCCTGTCTTTGGAACCAGAATCTGTCTTTGGAACCACAGTGCAACCCAGGATGCAGGTGTCAGCAATTCTGAGTCGTAAATCAGGACTAATGTTCATCTGGGTCTGTGAAAATCAGTCCTCACTTTATTTGAGGAAATGTACATTTCCTTTCATATTTGAGGCTCATGGTCTGGTTGAAGCTATTGCTGATATCAGTGGTTGGAAAGAGGCTAAAGGTGCTGGCTTTTCAAATGTGAGCAATAATGATTTGTCTGATCATCCCAACAAGACTGGGAACCTCTTGAAGATGGTGCGCATTCTGCATTGCCCAGGACTTGTGCTAGGCACAGAGAGGCACTGTAGATTGGCTTCATCTTCTTACATCTTTGAGGCTTCGGGAGCCTGTCAGTCATTCTCAGGAGTCTTGCCCATTCTCTGTTATTTGTGTTGCCTCCTGTACATTCTTTTTTTAAAATTTTTAAATTTAATTTCATTTTTTATACAGCAGGTTCTTATTAGTCATCAATTTTTTTTTTTTTTTTTTTGCGGTACGCAGGCCTCTCACTGCTGTGGCCTCTCCCGTTGCGGAGCACAGGCTCCGGACGCGCAGGCCCAGCGGCCATGGCTCAAGGGCCCAGCCACTCCGTGGCATGTGGGATCCTCCCAGACCGGGACACGAACCCGTGTCCCCTGCATCGGCAGGCGGACTCTCAACCACTGCACCACCAGGGAAGCCCCAGTCATCAATTTTATACACATCACTGTATACATGTCAATCCCAATCACCCAGTTCATCACACCACCATCCCCATCCCCCCACACTTTCCCCTCTTGGTGTCCATACGTTTGTTCTCTACATCTGTGTCTCAGTTTCTGCCCTGCAAACTGGTTCATCTGTACCATTTTTCTAGGTTCCACATACATGCATTAATATACGATATTTGTTTTTCTCTTTCTGACTTACTTCACTCTGTATGACAGTCTCTAGACTGTCACATCTCAACAAATGACCCAATTTCATTCCTTTTTATGGCTGAGTAATATTCCATTGTATATACGTACCACATCTTCTTTATCCATTCATCTGTCGATGGGCATTTAGGTTACTTCCATGACCTGGCTATTGTAAATAGTGCTGCGGTGAATATTGGGGTGCATGTGTCTTTTTGAATTCTGGTTTTCTCTGGGTATATGCCCAGTAGTAGGATTGCTGGATCATATGGTAGTTCTATTTTTAGCTTTTTAAGGAACCTCCATACTGTTCTCCATAGTGGCTGTATCAATTTACATTCCCACCAACAGTGCAAGAGGGTTCCCTTTTCTCCACACAGTCTCCAGCATTTGTTTTTTGTAGATTTTCTGATGATGCCCATTCTAACTGGTGTGAGGTGATACCACATTGTAGTTTTGATTTACATTTCTCTAATAATTAGTGATGTTGAGCAGCTTTTCATGTGCTTTTTGGCCATCTGTATGTTCTCTTTGGAGACATGTCTATTTAGGTCTTCTGCCCATATTTGGATTGGGTTGTTTGTTTCTTTAATATTGAGCTGCATGAGGTGTTTATATATTTTGGAGATTAATCCTTTGTCCATTGATTTGTTTGCAAATATTTTCTCCCATTCTGAGGGTTATCTTTTCATCTTGTTTATGGTTTCCTTTGCTATGCAAAAGCTTTTAAGTTTCATTAGGTCCCATTTGTTTATTTTTGTTTTTATTTCCATTACTCTAAGAGGTGGATCACAAAAGATCTTGCTGTGATTTATGTCAAAGAGTGTCTTTCCTATGTTTTCCTCTCAGAGTTTTAGTGTCCGGTCTTACATTTAGGTCTCTAATCCATTTTGAGTTTATTTTTGTGTATGGTGTTAGGGAGTGTTCTAATTTCCTTCTTTTACATGTAGCTCTCCAGTTTTCCCAGCACCACTTATTGAAGAGACCGTCTTTTCTCCATTGTATATCCTTGCCTCCTTTGTCATAGATTAGTTGACCATAGGTGTGTGGATTTATCTCTGGGCTTTCTATCTTGTTCCATTGATCTATGTTTCTGTTTTTGTGCCAGTACCAAAATGTCTTGATTACTGTAGCTTTGTAGTATAGTCTGAAGTCAGGGAGTCTGATTCCTCCAGCTCCGTTTTTTTCCCTCAAGACTGCTTTGGCTATTTGGGGTCTTTTGTGTTTCCATACAAATTTTAAGATTTTTTGTTCTAGTTCCGTAAAAAATGTCATTGGTAATTTGATAGGGATTGCATTGAATCTGTAGATTGCTTTGGGTAGTATAGTCATTTTCACAATATTGATTCTTCCAATCCAAGAACATGGTATATCTCTCCATCTGTTGGTATCATCTTTAATTTCTTTCATCAGTGTCTTATAGTTTTCTGCATACAGGTCTTTTGTCTTCCTAGGTAGGTTTATTCCTAGGTATTTTATTCTTTTTGTTGCAATGGTAAATGGGAGTATTTCCTTAATTTCTCTTTCAGATTTTTCATCATTAGTGTATAGGAATGCAAGAGATTTCTTGCATTAATTTTGTATCCTGCAACTTTACCAAATTCATTGATTAGCTCTAGTAGTTTTCTGGTGGCATTTTTAGGATTCTCTATGTATAGTATCATGTCATCTGCAAACAGTGACAGTTTTACTTCTTCTTTTCCAATTTGTATTCCTTTTATTTCTTTTTCTTCTCTGATTGCCGTGACCAGGACTTCCAAAACTATGTTGAATAATAGTGGCGAGAGTGGACATCCTTGACTTGTTCCTGATCTTAGAGGAAATTCTTTCAGTTTTTCACCATTGAGAATGATGTTTCCTGTCGGTTTGTCGTATATGACCTTTATTATGTTGAGGTAGGTTCCCTCTATGCCCACTTTCTGGAGAGTTTTTATCATAAATGGATGTTGAATTTTGTCAAAGGTTTTTTCTGCATCTATTGAGTTGATCATATGGTTTTTATTCTTCAATTTGTTAATATTGTGTATCACATTGATTGATTTGCGTATATTGAAGAATCCTTGCATTCCTGGGATAAATCCCACTTGATCCAGGTGTATGATCTGTTTAACGTGTTGTTGGATTCAGTTTGCTAGTATTTTGTTGAGGATTTTTGCATCTATATTCATCAGTGATACTGGTCTGTAATTTTCTTTCTTTTTTTTT